ATAATATTGACAATGCAAGCAATCCCATTCTTCCCATAGTCCCGAAGGAGTAATCTGGAGGGCTGAGTTCATATATTTCCAGGGCAGCAGCCAGGACCTCCTTTTCACACATGCTGAAGTTGAAGTATTCTTCCGAAAAGTTACATCAAAGCATACTTTTTTGAGATGTCTTGCCCTAAAAGACTCACAGCCATGGTAAGTCCATATTCTCCCTAAGAAGTAATTCAAATGTTCCGTCATCCTTCCTCCTAGGAAATTCCTCCTTATTTCAAGGCTGAGCTTATTTCAAGGTGGACCTGGAGGGGTCCTTGTAAACAAGATGAGACTGTCTTGACAAGACAAGACTGGCTGACAAGATTGTCTTACTTAAATACAGGTGTATGGCATATATAGTTATATGCCATAACCAAGCTACCTCTAATTCTTCTCTATGATAAACAAAAAACACTGAGCTCCTTTAGCTTGGCCATGTAAGGCTTGTTTTCCAACCTCTGATCTATTTTAGTGACCTCTTTTTGAACTCGATCTTGAGGCGTGATTTCTAGAACTTGCCATAGTATATGTAGTGATGATCTGACTAAAACCAATCATTTCTCTTCTGAAAATCCCCTGTTTGCTTATTCAGAGATTACACTGAGGTAGTGCTTACCCCTTAAATCCAAAGAACTTTTTAGAGTCACTGTTTTTCAAGGCAGAGCCCCCTACTTTGTGAGTACTGTCTACATTTTTTATATCTGTATATATTATCTTGCGTTTAGCTAGAACGTTCCTGTTCCCAGTCTTTAAATTTTGGGAAATGATATATGCTGTTTAAACCTACATATTTGTAGTTGGTGAAATATTCTTCTTATATAAAGCAAAAGTAAATGTTTCATGATTCTTTGATTCAGAAAACTTTTTCTTTTTCGAGTTGTGGATTTCTTTTTGCCTGTTAGAAGATATGCTAGTTTTGTTACCATCATTAGGTGTAAAATGTACTATCTTAAGGAAGTAAATCAATTTTTAAGTGTTATTTTACTGAAACTCTAAAAATTGGGCACAATAGATCTCCGCATAAAGTCTTCCAGTTAGAAATTATACAAGGAAAAGAGGTTTATTGTGAAGTTCGTGTATATCTACTTTGTCCTCAAAAGACAAATATCCTTGGACAGTATCATTTGCTTCTTTTCATTCCTTTTCAGAAATGGCTAGGGATAGATCAGCATTTCAGAGACAGAAATTTGTGGTGCTCTTTCACCTAGTTTTTAAATGATGTCAGATAAAAAAGGTACGATTTTCTTTGGGGGAACAATAAAAAATAAATTAATATGTAAAAAATCTGAACATTTCCTTGGAATGTGGTATTTCTTTCTATGTGTATTATACAGTATTGTCTTATCCAATGTCCAGATTTGTGTTATTATAGCCAATTTTTTTTCCTCATCTAGTCCCCCATTTTTTCATCTCCTGATTAACCTCATTTAGATCTCAGCTCTGCAACTTGCTCCATCAGCGTGAATCTGAGGACATGAGCTGAAAATTTCAGCCTGAAAGACTTAAAAATAATGAAAATGAAAGGAGAATTAAATCTACTTTATGCTGTAATGGCATGTGTTTCCTTTATGCAAAAGTTTCTGAGAAACTTAATAAAGATGAAGTCAGTATGGTTCTACAGAAATTATTGTAAATATAAGAGAATATAATAGAAAAATATGTTCCTTTTAAAGGCTTGATTGACTATTTTTTGGAATTTGAGAACAAGGGTATTATTTTCTAACATTCTATACCATATTATAAAAGAAAAAAAGGAGAAAAAGCCCTGTGATTATTTTAAGTTTATTTCTATAGGACTTTTTATGTATGAGTTAATTATTTATGGTGAAATCCTCTGAGTAAATGGATTTTGCTCCATCGAGGGATGTTAGGGATGATCCATAAAATGCAAAAGAAAGGGAGCTATGTATGCAGAGCAGGGACTATTTGAACATTTCATTTCTGCGCAAGGCTTAAAATACAAATAGCAAAACCTGATAAGTGTAAAACAAATGAAAATGACAATACATACTGTTGTTGGAAGAACAGTGCAGTGGTATAGTGTTTCATTTGCTACTTACATTGCAAAAGTTATCTTTATAAAAGTTCATAAACTGGATGCAGAGGCTGCATGGCCCTAGCTGAGAGGCGGGTGTCCTTCATTAGATTTTTGCTACTCTGCCTTCCTCAATAACTCAATATTAAGGTCCTTGCATAAATCTCAAACCTGGAATTTCGATATGCTTACGTCCGTAAGCCCTTTCACTCTTAGGGTTTAATGAATATTGATCCATCCACACACTTGCTAATACCCATACAAGGAAAGTTGTAATATTATCTCAGTGTTTTTCACTATAAAACTTAGGCAGAGAGGAATTAAAGAGCTAATTCAGTCAGAGCAGTTATTGGATAGCCTGAGAATAAAGTCAAAATTTTCCCAATTCCACTTTCTAGGGAACAAATCTCCAGTGTAAACATTCCCCCAAATTTTACTCCTTTTACCATGAATTTTGTAACGGAGACTGGGGAGAAGGGAGAAGAAAGAGGAACTAATTGTGCAGTAGACAGCGTGACAAGCATGGCACCCGAACAAGGGGAAGAAACTTTGTAATACTGGAATGAATTTGCTCTCTGTGTCAAGTGTGAACGGTGCCTGCATTGTATGGTTTTGTTGTCCACTCTCCTGAGCAGATGGAGCTTGCAGTTGTATGTCACTTGTTTATTACATCCTCTTAAGATTAGTAGCTGTGTGGCCAGATGGGTCTGGGAGCACAGCTGTGGATACAAGGAAATAAATGAAACCTGTCTGATGCTGCCATGCCCTTTTGTGAGATACTGACATGTTGCAACTGCAACAAAGCAAAAATTGCTTTCCTTTAATATATTAGTGAATTAGATGTGATTTCTTTTTTTTTTAATCGAATCATACAAAATCAAGAGAATAAGGTTCAAAGGATGATATAATTCTAAGAGGAAATTGTATTTAAAATCTGTAACAAGCAGCCTCAGCAAATGTACAGGAACAATTTTAATGTATTAAAATAAATTTAAAATGCATATCAATTAATAATCTATGTAAAATGTAAAGCAAAGGTTTCTATAGAACAAAGACATATAGAGCATATGCCAACTAGGCATTAGTATTTCAAAGTTTATTAGATGGCATATGTTGAATTATTGATCCAACATTCTGATAAACTATATAACGCATTCATGTAAATGCAAATGAAATGGTGTTCTATAGAAGAATGCCAGATTATGGGCTAGACTTTAAAAAGGGAAGCTAACACAGTTTTAACTCCTTCATGGCAGTGGACACAGAAAGTGAGTCACAAAGCTACCGTGAATGTGGAGCTATAGGATGGAATTCACCCTGCAGTGAAGTTGTCTACATCTGACACTCATCTACGCCCCCTTTACAGTCAAAAGGGAGAAATACGCATTTTTAAGGAAAAATCACCTGAACTTTCTTAGATATCTGTTTAGGACACAATGAATGACACGAAAGAGGGTCAGATTCTGTCCTTTGACTGTAAAGGGTGCCTAAGTGTCCATGTCATGTGTAGACATCTCCATTCAGTCCCACTGACAGAGTTGATTTGTTGTAGTGTATTCTGTAGCAATTCAATTTACTTACTGTACGCTCAGCTGTTTTTCTCCTCTCCTTTTAAGTATATGGGTGGATTGTTTTGATGCAAATGATTTGTAGTTTACTATGAAGCTAAGATTTTGAGGAAGCTTTATTGCTTCTTTTTGTAGAGGGAAGGTGGTTTTGGGGGCTGTTCCTTTTGAGAACCCCACTCCATGATTTTAAGAATACATTAAGATGATAGATAATGAAGCAATGCATGGTTTTAGCTGTGGAAGTGGCAGTTTCTGTGAACTGAAGGAACATATGGCCATTTCTTAAATTTATATTTCTTCTTTTATTGTCTAGCAAAATGAGAGTCGACACTGCAGGAAGTGTGCTGTGCTTTCCAGGAAAACAAAAACTTAAAAATCAGAAACACTGTGACTTTGAGAGAAATAATGTTATAAAGAGGATATCATACTATGACGTAAAGTTGGAGCTTAACTTGTTGCAGCCTTAAGACAAAATATCATGATAGGCAGTCACAATGAACATGATATTTAGTACAAAAACATTTTTCTGCTTCTGAAAGCTGCTATAAATTATGTACACTTTAAAATACTTTTATGTTAATTAAGGAAGATGCAGCAAGCTGCAATATTTTATGGGAAGAGAGGCAAGTGCAAGTGCAAATTGTGATTCTTTTTACCTTATTATAGTGAGGGAGCAAGAAAAGTTTTACCCCGTTCTGAAGGACTGTGTAAATCCATATTAGAGCATGCCAGGAGGTTGGGAGGTAGAGATACTGATTTTCATTGACTTCCACCATACTGTGTTTGCTTCATTAAAAAATTACAAATTTGTTGGCAAAAAGCAATAACATATTGCTAGAAAACATCAAAATTTCACAGTGTGAATTCATCATTTGAATTTGTATTCAAAACTCTGGTTTCATGAATTCTGTGTTTTCTTTAAAAAAGAGGAAGTAGCATAATAAAGGGACATCAGAGCTGCTATTTCTGGGCCATATCAAAGATCTTTTAACCAACTATCCCATTTCTGACAGTATATCATGCTCACCAAAATCTTTATTAAATGAGTGGATTTTATAACATTCTGAAATGGTGATGACAAAGAAGAAATCCTTAAAATAGCAATGCATTATGTAAAGTATACATGTCTGATGAGAAGTTACATCAGTGTGTGTTATACAAGGGAAATAACTTGTGTTCCTGATTTATCTGAAATGATGATACTATTTCTAACATTTTTTGTTTTAAATTGTTTCTCTCATTTCTGCAGGAAGTTGCCCTTGTCCTTGCAGCTATATTGGTATTTTTGTTGGCTTTCTATGCTTTCTTTTATCTTAACATTTCCAATGAAGTTGACCTTGATCTGGATCCAGATGAAAACTAGCAGATGCAATGAATCTATCATCAAGATTTCTTCAGCTGGAACACGACTGCATAGGAACGCAGAGCCCCTTCACTGTGAGACAATAAATGATGCCATTTCTTGTGGTCCAAATTCAAAAGAAAATTTTGCAATATGTCAGTCACTTTCACATTCCAGATCTCCAAAGCACGGGAAGAATACTTGCACCTAGCAAGCCTATGTGGTTAACAGCAAAGCCAGGAGCCGCAGTACAATATGTGAAGTTTATTGTTTACATTACTTTTTTCTCAGGCAGAGAACTTTGATGTCAAAAGACAGGTGCTATGATTATAATGGGTATTGATGCTGACTTCATAGGAGAAGAGTCTGCCTTGACTAAATTTCGGAATCAAGGATTCCTAATAGCCAAATTAGGTTCCTTTTCCTTTCCCAAAAGAAAGCAACATTGCCAAATAAAATGTCTTTTCTTGATTTGTATTTAAAGTATGTCGAAAACCTCTCATTCTTTCTCTCCCTTTTTATCTTTCTTGTACATGAGTGCACACATGTGCGTGTGCACAGAGAGAGAAGAAAGTGTGGAAGAAAAAAATATCCTTTTAGAAGCAGTCTGTCACCTTCTGTATGGACTTAATTTTATGTCATGCCAGATTCTGCGTGCCCATATATCTACAGTACTCTTTTTCATTCTTTTGCCAACTGTTCAGCACACATGTGTTCTGTCAGAAATGGCACCTGGATGACAGAAGCTCTAACATTCGCATATGCCTCTGAAACACAGTTCTGTGCCTCCTGTGCTGTCTGAACTAGTGTAAATAGAAAGTTCAGTCACTGTTGATTTTAATTAGTGTATTGCTCTATTATTAATCTAAGGTTGAAATTGTATTTTAATTATGCTCTTCCTGCTGGTTATGGTATCAACTTGCTCTACCTGTTAGGGGGATGTTGTAAAAATTTGCTTTCCATTTATATAATCATTTTTATCATCATACTAATGTGAGAAGTTGTAACTTCTGAGAAACCTTTTTCTGTGCATATTTCTAATGTTTGGAAGAATGTTAGCTCAATGACATCCTTTAGTTCTTGCAAAGTACCTTTCAGAACATGCAGTGTAGATAACATTTCTGATCCCTTTGATAAAGAACCACAAGCAACTTGAAGAAGTAGGTATGTTAAAGCAGCTGCAGAGAGCTGTAAAATTCAGGCTTTAACCTGTTTTGCTTTGGCTTTGGCATATTTCTAGACCTGTGATTGTAAAGGTTCTGTTTTGTTTGTTTTAAAAACATGGTCAGCCTTTCTCTTGTTCTAATTTCTCATATTTTGATATCAAGAGGAGCGTTGAGCTGTTAGTGCTGAGTGTGACAAGAGACTTGTCCAGATTTTTTTCCAGAAAAGTTATCAAAATCCTGAAATTCTATTAGCAAACTAGCCTTGAGGTGTCTTTGATGTCAGTTTCAGGTTAGATTGAAGCTGAAGGTTAGATTTAGTTGCAACAAAGACATTTACTGAATTCTTCCAGAAATGCATGACTTAGATTTCATATAGTGATTTTGGACACAAAGGGATACCAAATCATAGCAAAGATTATATTGTAAAAAGATATTTATTTAAAATTGACATAGTTGCATTATCACCACTTAAGGAACTTAGATCAATGAAGTTAGTTTTTAAACCATATAGTAATTATGACCATATACATTATGAGTCTCTAAGGATATACTTCTTATCTGTCATAATCCTCATTCATCTTATGTAATGAAAAACAACTCCTCTAGAAATGTCAAGTACGACAGCCTTCCAAGAAGAAGATGAAAGAGATATATATAGACATATATGTGCATATATTTCTCATTTTTTTAATTATGACTATTACAGGCACAAAATCCTAACATTTATACATTTGTATGGCTTATAGTCCTCTAATACTCATATACGCGACCAAATGCTTAGCAACATATTGCATTTATGGTGAAGCATTTCCTGACACGTGGCCTGCCTTTCAGTGGAGGGAAAAGCATATCACAAGCTGTCTTTCTGGATGTGACATGCCTTTCATTTCACCAGTGCCACACCACATGTCACAGAAGCTACAGACCTCTCCTTTTACTTTGCATGAGCAATTTCCTTTTTCCGTAAAATGCTGGAAGGATTGCTTTGTTAATGTGTGCATGCTGTACTGTGGGTGATGTGTGGTATGGGAAGGATGTGCTGTTACCCCCTTCATGCAAGTTCTCTGATAACTGGCATTCTGATTCTGTTTCAATAAAAAGTGGGCTATTCTTAATGTCAAAAAAGAACATGAAGTTACTAGAACAAGAACATATCATTTTCCACGTATTATGACTCACAGGCAAAATCCAAACCAGGTATGTGAGTGAATGAAGTGTCTTCACTGGTTTGTGCCTCATCAGTGCATGTTGCCCTCAAGTGCTACAGTTTGCAATTTCCTATTAGTTTCATTTAAGTTATGTTTTTTCATTTATATGAAAGATATTCTCATGTAGCCAGAAACCTTCCTTTTGCTTAGCAAGAGTGGATAGACTTCTGCTTAGTGTACACAGTAATACATGGTAAATATTGCAGCGAGTACACCCTTTCTCTTATCGGTATACTATTTTTAATGGGATTGTGTCAATAGTTTTGTAAAGATAAACAAACCCTTCCACATTTCATCAAACTGCGTCCTTATTTTTCTAAAAGGCATAAGCACAACAATGTTTTCAGTGAGGTTGGATCCTGAGCTTACTCACATTTATCTTACTACGATCCCACTGAGTTCGGTGAAATTACTCCTGATTTACTCTCAGGGGAAATCAGAATCCAGTGTGCAGTTATTTCTACTTTCTGGAGCACTGCAATGTCCACCCCTGCTATTTGAAAGTTGAGACTGATTTTAATCTTGCAAACACGTTGCTTGTTTTGCCCTTATTTATATCTGAGATTGAAATATGCCTCTTGGCTTTTAGAACATTTTTCTTTATGTGAGTTCCTCAGTATCTATTTTAATAATAAATGGATTTCTACTATTTTTGTGCTCTTATTAATGTGGGGTGTGTCACATCATTGAATTATATGTTCATTTGAAAGAACATTAAAACAATTATGATAGGATGATATTCAAGTTTTAGCAGTGATACTTACCATTTTTAGAATATTTGGACTAGTCTAGGCAATTCTAAGCCCTAAGCTCATATTAAAACTGAGTGTAGTCTATGAATACTTTAAAAACAATAAAGAAACTTCCCTGGGACTCCTATCCAATACCAATACAGCAGTTCTTTTTTGAAGAGAAAATTGTTCCCTGTAGCTGCTATCAACATCAGAAGGATTGACTTTCAAGGAAAGATTGCTGATCAAATCATTTACACAGCAGCCCTGCCTTAACTCGGTAGCTTTTTTCAAGGACATTCACCTCTGGAGACAGAGTAGACTTCAGTACTGTTGCTGTCCTCTGCTTGTGGAGTAAAGTGAATTCCTCTCTAGCAGAGATTGCCTAGGAGGTGCCTGTACTGGACCCTCTCTCACTACGGGCAGGAGCGGATGCCTCCGATTCCTCCAGGAGCGTGGGAGCTTCTTCAGTTCTCCACCAGTCCCCCCTGGAAAGGAAGGAACAATAGCCATCCCACAGGGATTTTGCTAGCTAAATCTTTCCTCAGTAGTTTTTCTTTTCCCTTTAGTAATACAGAAGCAGACCCAGCATACAGACCATCTCAGGACAGAAGCCTCAGTGCAGTACTTTTACTAGTGCTGCTGGTGAGCATTGCCAAGGGAAGGCTTTAACTCTGTTTCCTATAGCCCGTAAATATATTTTATTGGAAGTTTAGGAGACATGTTAAACGTTTCCCTGATGGGCCCTAGATATATATTTAAACTTTGTGGAGGAATGCTTTATTCAAAATTCACTGTTGCATATCATTTAGGCATCATGTGATTCAGGATATGTCACAGCTCCTTCCATTCATCTGACCAACCGTAGCAGTGGCAACACAGACACTGCAAGGTTATGCAGCACCATGTAACTGAGAAAATATGCAACATGAGTGAAATTCTCTGTTTGCTTAGGTTTTTAGGTTTTTAGTGTAATCCAGAATACTTGACCTAACAAGTTATGTTTGAAAACAAACAGCTTTTAAACAACCCTATTCAATGAGGGCAGAGTGGAAGCCCTACGAAAAGGCCAGTCCCAGTTCCATGAAAATTTCTTCCGTGGAAGCGGCTTATTTGCTGACGCGGGGCCAAGTTTTGAATGCTGCCCTTTCCAGGAGGAAAATGTTGCTAGTAGCTCCTGGTAGAGTAATGATTCATTTTGCTCTGATATAGCATTATGCCTATAAGGCACAAGTGAGCCTTTGTTGATGAAGGTCAAATGCATTCAGGACAATTCTCAGTAAAGGATTGTACTTGAAATGCAGACTATGCAATTTAGACTGCCAACAAACGGGATACTACAGATCTTGATCACATTTCAAGTTTTACTTACAGTAGCATAATAATTAGTGGTGCTTATGACTCAGAAAATAACAATATGGCACATCAATAAGACAGCAGAAATTGATGTTGGAACTGCTTCTTAAAAGATTTTGTAGTTGATTATGCCTGCACTTTGGGAAATGAAGCCATGAGATGAGTAAACTGGCAAAGATCATCTGTGATCTTTTGCTTACAATATTTTTCCCTGAAAGAGCTGACAGATTTTTTGCCGCAATTTTCCCCATCATCTTCTTAGTTTTCCACAACATATTCTTCTGTAGATGTATTTCTACCCATTTTCAAGAGTAGTTTATCAATGCATTTAATTGACAGAATCGTATACTCTTCCTCTTTTTTCCCTCCTTAATCATAACAAAATTGGTGGGGAGACAGCCAAAATGTTAGGTACCAGTGTCTCTCAAGCAGATGTCACACCACTATTTTTTAGCTTGTTTAAATGAATAAACATGTTAAACTGTGAAGTATTACATTTTAGATTTTTTTCATTAGAAAAAATGGGACAATCTGTTTACTGTCCTTAATTGAGACAACAATCCTGGTGGTTGCCAGTTTTGGCAGTTGTAACGATGAACTATAAATATTGGGACAAATCAACTAACTGGTGATCGTGAAGGATAGTTCAAGTAGGAGTCTCATTTTGCATGAATACTTTTTTCAGTGCTATATTTTTTCTAACTTCTATAATTGTTATACTGGTTTTGCATGTTAAAGCCACAAATAAATACATGACTAGTCAAAAAATTGGCTTGATTCTGTTGTATTCTGTTGTCTTAAAAGCAGATAAAAGCTGACAACCGTGTGCCACAGACCTGCAGCACAGTTCATGTCTTACCTAAATTCTCCCAAAAAGATGTTTGTTCAGGCCCACTACAGATGTGGGCGTTATGAGAAATGAAGAGCATCGCATTGCTGAAAAAGTAAGCAGAGTACAGATCTTTGGGAGTTTGCCATTTCACAAATAGATTGTAGGAATTTTGAAGAGCAGAACCACAGGAGGTGACTATAGAGTATGGTGACAAACTGATGTCATTCTGCTATCACAGGTCCCTCTGGAAAAGAGACTGGAAGAAAACAGAACTAAAACGGGAAATTCTTTCAGGAGACAGCCACCTCACAACTCACCGTGTTACTCAAGAAGAAGAGCTGCCTCAAGTTCTCATTTTTCACAGGGCAAAAAAGGGCTGGGGGAGACAAAGAAGTCCGGTAGGAAGTGGCTTCTCAATGGATCAGTGGCTCATTAATTAAGGTATGCACTGGGTTTGGGGAATTTACACAAAGTGTAGGTCAGGCTACTTAGTGCTGCCTTCATTCAAAGAAATTGTCACATTGTGCCAAGCTGGAGTAGCTTTGTGTGTCCAATATTTGAGTTAAATCTAAGTGTTCTAATTAATATTGGCGATGTCCCCATTTCTTTAGACACACCTTTTTCTCCCATGAGCCTAACAGCAGAGAGGAAGGACAGGGAGGGAAATGGCATAGGAGCCCTTTCTGCTGATTCTGCATTCCCGAAGCATCCCCGCTGTGCTCAGTGGGGTGAAGGTGGTGTTTAGAGTTGGACTGCACTCCTGGATTGCTTTGGACAAGCTACAAAAAGGAACAGAGCAGAGCTTAACCTGCAGGCCGAGTCTCCTACCCTCTCTGGTGTGTGATTTGTTACCACAAATAAATAGAAGCTGAGACGTTGAGGCTTTTTACTTTTATTTATTAGGTTCTCAGGAAGGTGCCAGAAAAGTTGTTTTTGTTCTCCTTTTGAAAGCTGTTTCTGCATAGTTGTTTTACATACTCAATATCTGTGTGTCAGCTCTCCAGTCAAAGGATGCCAGGCTCATGCCTAGTGCTTTCTTCAGGAAAGCTGTGGATATTATCCTTTTGCAAGGGGGCTGGCATGCCGTCTCCCCGCTCCTAGTTGGCTGAAGCTGAAGAGGTCTCAACTAGCTATAACTTTTAGTATAAAACTTGCTGTATTTTGGGAAGAACAGCAAATTCTGAAATCAGGAAGGCTCTGTTTAGCCTTTTCTGCCCAAGGAGCCTTCACGCTGGCCCACGTAGTGAAAAACAGTTTGTTTTTGCTTATTTGCTTGCTTGTTTTTTGATGGTTTCCTTCAGCTTCTCATTTTGAAAGATGAGTTAAGATGCTGTGATTTTCTACTTGGTAAGGCTATTTTAACAACTGTATCGAGAGTTCTCACTGGCCTAAGGAGCTCCTAACTGTTCATTCTTAAATGGCAGACAATCATATTTGTGTTTATCTATTCATTAATCATAGCTGAATGATTCTCAAGCTGCTCTTCTCAGGCTGTACTTTACCTTTGTGCCACTGCATCTGCCCTTCAGATAATAAGGGCAACTAATAAGGATGTGATAAACAAAGAAGAAAGTAGAAGGGCTTCTTCAGGTCATTATCAAAGCCACAAATTCATTTAAGTTGGACAATATATATGGGGAAACTTCCCAGTGTGCTATACAGATTTCTATTTTGAAGAGCGGCCCTTTAAAACCTGCTGTGCTCTTGTGAATGCTTATTTGCCAGTCTTTGCCCTTATACACGAAGACTTGTAAGTTCATGTTAAAATAAGACGTGAGTAAAAAAATACAGTTGTATACAGAGGTATTCATGAGAATACTTCAGAAATTTGTTCTCACAAAATAGTAATCAGTTGCTTTCAAGTGATAGAAAAAATGCTTTGTTTGTGGGTGATATTGTTTGGTCAAATGTACTTTGTCATTTGAAATATTACAGAATGATAACAACATCCTTTTAGTTAAGATTTTCCTCAAAATATGAGTTACTTTTAATAGGTATGGCTTTTACCAAGGAATATGATGTTGAAATTTGAGAAATTCGCCCAAGAAATTTCAGTCTATGACTAATAGGAGCAAGGGTTTCAAAATTCTTCCTTGTCAGTGAGATTTATCTTCTGTATTAGGAAAACTTCAAGCTGATACTGTGGTGGAGTGCATAATGTTTAAAGAACAAAATAGTTCTCTGGATTTAAGAATTCTCTGGTTTCTGGATTTAAGAACAAAGTAAATGCTCAAGTGACTCTTCACACGCATTATTTAACCTCTCATATATATATATATACTGATATGACTGGACTACGTGAGTATCAGGTGATCATTCATGATATTCGTGATTGCTATGCCCTCAAAGTTATGGTGGCAAATATTTCTACTACACTGTATTATGCTTCTATACACAGAAGAAATGTCTCTCACTAAATAAATGCCTACCTGCAGCAGAAGATAACTTCTCTTTTGTACATCTTAATGTAAAAAATACAGATAGCAAGAAAGGAAAATAAATACTCTCTTGGGCATTTGGAAACAAGAATCATTCCTGCAGCATAGGATATGTGCATAAGTCTAAAACAAGTTACATTTAAAAGATAATATAGATAGGGAAAGGAAGTCTTCATTGCTCTGTAGACTTACGAAAGATAAAAGTAGGCCTAGTTGCTTTATGGAAGATTCACTGTTCCTTACAGTATAATTTGTAGCGTAGTTTCCACAAAGCTACTATTCCCCTATTCCGCCACTGGTCTGGGGATCATCATCGCCAACTTGTGAAAAATTATGTCATATTTTCCAGAACTTAAGAAAATTAGGGTATCACTATTAAGCACTGAGTTATTTAGTTGCTTAGAAAGGATCTGCCAGAGGATATGTACAATAATGTAAAACACAAAGTGATGTGGAATAACAAAAAAATTAAATCTGACTTTCAACTGATCAACTACCTATCAGAGAGCAGGCCTGCGGGTCCTTTCTGCACTGGTATTTCCCTGAAAAGCCTGGAGGAACAGATCTGTCACATCCACCCATTAACACTTGTCTCAGTTACCATTTTAGTTTTCATACGCTCTATAAAGGATTACAACTTTCAGGTCATTGGTCTGGAGAAGGCTGTTTTCGATCTTTGAACCTAATTCGGGACTTCCCCTTTTCTCAGATCAAGGCCCTTCAAAAGATGCTTTTCAGAGAGCTGCTAGCAGTTTGAAAAGAGACCACATATTCTTAAATTTGGTGTAGCAAATGAGATCAACAGAAGATGAAGACACTTAAAAGTTACTCATCCTCCACTGGAGCAAGAAGGGGAAGTATTTGCTCAGATTGTCTGGCAGTGGGGTACCAGATGTGCCAAACTATATCCAAAGGGAAGAGTGAGCCAGGGAAGACAGATCTCAGGACATCAGCAGGGACTGGATACAGATGTACTGCCAGATGCCACTTATGCACTCCCTCCTGCAATGGCATAAACCCAAGAAAATTTGTGAGAGGACCCCAGTGAAATCTTGCTCTTGAGTAAGATTTGAGATCATGAGAAGTATCTCTTATGCTAAAGATCATGAAAAGATGATCAATTTGTTTGCAGTTAAGTATTATAGGAACTGCAATTGCTGAAATAAACCTTCCTTGACCTATCAGTGGGGGTTCATTTGTGAATGAAGCCTGCCTTTGCAAAAATCTAGGCACATGACAGATAGCCATACATTTAATACTTGTAACAGGGAATCTATGCAGCTGCATATGAGGGAAAAAAAATCAATGAGACATATTTTAATTCTATTCCAGAGGAATGACAGAGGCCTATGCTCTGGTGGAAGCTGAGGAAGCAATCATGTATACTAATGTTATCTGCCTCCTTTCATCATCTGCCAGCAACAGGGCAACACTCTCCACAGCCAACAGGAATACTTTAATTAAGTAAAACAGAATTACAAAACACCAGGCTACCTAACTGCCTCGGTTTAGAGAGCTGCAGAAGTAAAGCTCTCAGTTCATTAAATTATAGCTTATAGAGATACCCCACTATTACATGCCTAAAAGCCAAATATCAAAACTAGACCCACCAGCAAGGTTTTCATGCACTGTCAAGTTCTGTATCTCAAAAGTCTTGAGAATTACACAGACTGTCATATGTGTGAGAGTTTTTGTCTTATGTTGCTCCTCTCACAAGGTATTCCTTGACCTTAGTATAGGCTGAGAGCTTATGTTGTCAGGCTAATGAGGAGGAAAAAGAGGATATTTTGTAAAACTTCTTCTATATGCTAGTCTTAATCATTTAATGGCATATAATGCAGCTTTCCTTGAAGGTGGAACTGGGATAAAGTACTATGGGGAAGATACCGTAATATCTTCTTTGGAAGCCAGCATCATTCTTCTAGAGCACAGTGGAAAAAGCTTTGGGCTTTGTCCTAGCAGATGAATAATCAGTGATGTGGAAGGTTGAGTATATAGTCCAGAAATAAGGACAGCAACCAGCAAGCAGAACAGCCCCTTCTTCCTCAATCTCCAATCCACAGCAGTGCTCGGATCCAAAGGAACAGCTCTGCCTTCCCATCCAAAGCCCAAGCCTTTGACTTGCCCCTCTGCCTGGGAGCTGGAGGAGAATGAATCTTGCGTGACCTCTCAACAGCGGTTACGCAGGTTGTCTCTTCAAGAATGAAAATTTGCTCACATGGGAGAAAAGAACTTGGCTCTACATAGTACTGCCACTCACCAACACCCACTGTTTTTGAATTACATCACGGGCTTTCATCCCTCTGAAAAACAATGATTTGACTAACACTGTAACGTTCCTAATGACTTGTTTTTTGGATATATGGCAACTAAAAAAAAAAAAAAAACATGCAGATGGTGGCTGGATTCGCTCCTGCTGGCACAGATCACCCTTGCTCCTGGAGGCTGGTACAGCACTTCCAGCAGGGCAGCCTGTTTTGGAGAAGGCAAGACTCTGTACATCGTTATGCGCTTGCAACACGCTCCTCCCAGGCAGTATTGCCCGCTCAGGGAACCCTGAGTCCCTGCAGGGCCAAGGTGGCTGATGGTGCTCTGTGCTGCCGCATCAGCCCTCTGAGCAGTTTAAGTATTGACAGGGTTTATCTATGAAGTGCAAGGGGATATCTGTCTGAGCAAGCAGTATATCTATCTGAGCAAGCAGTGCCCTGGAGGCAAAAGCAAGATAGAAATGCATGTGGGAGGATGAGCAAAAGTCCCAGAGGACACAGAAAGCCTATATGCTAAACTGTCAGGAGAAGTGTTTAAATCTGACTCCACTCAGAAATGACGGAAATTTAGAAGTTAGGTTGATGTAGGGTTGATTCTAGGCTGATCCTGAATGTACAGAAGTCACTGCAGAGCAGAGAGGCAGTTTGGAGCTGCAAACTGGCAACAGACTTTCAAGGGGCAGCTGGTCTCCCAGGCTTTTCCCTTCGGTCTATAGAGGAACCTTACAGATAATTT